TGTCACAACTGGGCAGGGTGGGGAAGGATGGGAGTGGTACTGCTGGCATCCTGGGGCACAGAGACTAGAGGTGCTGGTAGAGATCCCGCCCCACTGCACTGACCCCTGTGATAAGAAGGGTCTGACCAGAAATGTCAGTAGTGCCAATGCTGAGAAACCTAGGTATAGCGTGTGATAATTGCTGTATTCAAAACAACTACCACGTTTTTAGTGTTTTCTGAGCCTGGCTCTGTTCTGTGGTCAAGGTGTGCATATATTACTATTGCTCCTAGCTAGGTTTAGGAGTCTCGGAAGGCTGAGTTGCACCCTAAGGTCAGGTAGAAGGTGGTGTGTGCCACCACTTGGAGGTAACAGTTAGGGACATCTGGGGAAATGCAGGCTGCTCACGATGGTGAAAGCTAGAAGGTGGGGGAGCAAGAAACTCAAGAAGAGGCTACGGAAGTTGGAGAGTGGAAGCTGGAAATGGATGGCAGTGTACAATATTCTGAGGCACTTGGTTTTTGTTTAAAGGCTGTAGAACACCAAAAATGGGTTTTAGGTTGGGTGGTTACATGTTTGGGTTTGTCTTTTTTGGAAGAGTTCTTCAGTAGTTTTAAGGGGAACTAATTGGCAGGAGGCAACTGGAGATAAGTTGATTAGGAGGCCATTGCAGCCATTTCATGTAAGGATTGAGCCAGGAGAGTGAGAGTAGGTTTGGAAATATAGTTGAATTTCAGAGTTATTGATGAGGTTGAATGTTTAGGGCACCGAAGAAGGAAGGAGTTAGGATCAGGTCATTGATTATTGACTAGGGCAAGCATGGATAAAGCACATATGCCCCTTCCCCAAAGTGAGGTATGTAAGTCTTGTCAGCAGTAACTGCTTGTAGCTTCAAGCCCAGCAAATGGGGGGATGTCTGTCTTTTCCGTCAGCTCTGGACAAAACCTATGGTCTGAAAGTTAAGCCAGCCGTTGCAACACATGGGCACACAATGGAGGAGAGAAGACAGGGTTTCCGCAATAAAATCTTATTAAAAGGAGGAGAGAATGGACATACTCCATAGATACTGCATTCCATCCTGTTGAATGAGAATTGCAAGACTCCTGCACGCTAACTGTGGCGTGAACTCCGAGGTTGGCCAGGTTACTGCTTTTGGTTTTGTTCTTTGCAAAGATCTCCATTGTCCATTGTCCTTTGTGGCTCCTCTGGGATGGGTGTCTAAGTCATATTTCAGCTCAGGTGTCACCTCCTCAGGAGAGCTTTTCTTTGACTTCCGGGAAGAAAGCAGGCATCCAGTTTTTAAGCACCTTGTTGGAGCTAGGGACAGGGCATGTGTAAGTTATCTGCAGCATTCAGTTCATTTATGTGTTGCACTTTTTGTGCCCCCTTATGCTGGAATGTAAGGTCAGGAGTTGAGGAGGGGCCGTGGCTGATGTGTTCACTCTGAATCTCTAATATCTGGAATGGTATTTCGGTATATTTTTTGAAAGAATGAGGAAATGAATGAGAGAATAAAATGCTGAAGGAGGACCCGGTTTTTAAAATTTTTTTGGTCTGTCTTTTGGTGGGGAAGAGGACGTTTAATTCAGTTTCGGATATGAGTTTTAGAAATATTAATACTAAATATAGACAGGAACATAGGCTTGTCAATAGGCCATTAAGCATGCAATAGGTACAGCTGTCCAATTGGCTGTTAAACATGCAAAGTGAAGCTCAGGGAAATTTACGGTAAAGATTGCTAACATTTACTGATCTTTGCCATGTGCCAGTCTCTGTTCTTAGCACTTTAGTGGTCTTAGTAAAGTGGAGCTATCAATTTATGGAAGCAGAAACTGAAGCTATTGAGTAGTAATGTCCAGAGGGGATGCATGAGAATTAAATAAGCAGAGAATCCAGAGGCACAGTGGTATCTAAAAGGTGAGTCAAGAAACAGGCACAAGATCCTGGGAAACACTTGTGTTTAACAGACAAAAGAAGAAAGTGGCCCCTCTTTGAAGAAGCAACTAGACAGCGGGAGGGTTGGGTGAGGGAAACCTGGGAGAGTGTGGGGTCTCTGAATCCAGGGAAGCGGTTCAGGGAGGAGGGATTCCCGGATGTCTCAGAGATCTGAAAAGTGGCTGTGGTCTTCCACATCAAAGAAATGATGCTGTGAAGAGGTGTTTCAGGAAACTCTGGGGAGAGGAAATAGGTTGAGGGTTTGAGAATTTCAGGTTGCAGTCGGGAAGGGGCTAGCAGAGAGGGAGAGTTTGAAAATGTGTTGGAGGGAGAACATTGGTGCTGCGTGACTTCTGGGGGCTGAGAGTTGATGCACTGGAGCTTTTGGTGGAAGGATGTTCTCAGACATAGCTTTTAGTTTTATTTATTTATTTTCCTGTAGAACCTTCTGATTTCCTTGTTCTGTAATTTTCCAACGGATCAAGAGGCAATAGAACTGTACAGGCTGCACGTTGCTTCCCTGGTTCACTGCCAGTGAAAAGGCTGGGGACAGTAGGGCCTTGTCGGCTGCAGCCACTGACTCAGCAGCCATCAGCACAAGGACAGAGGTTCTGCTGCGTTCCTTACTTTACCTTCTTTCACTGGCATCAGCTGTTAGTTTTGCGTTTTTCCAAGTTACCTTGACTTCCTTCCCATAGCTGCATTTTCACTAATTTCCCCTCAGCCTAGAAATCTGGTGGCACAAAAGCCGTCCTTCACAAGTGGTCAGGCTCTCAGCAGTTGAGATGACTCAGTAATATCTGCAACCATACATTTAATAAGGAAAATCTAAATTATATATGTCTCTGATGAAATTGAAACTGCATCAACTTTTGTTTTTTTCTAGTGACAGGAATTGGCTTTCAGATTGGAAAGGTAGAGCTGGTGTTTTTAGAATGTGCCGTCCAAATATAAAGTGCATCTCAGTTTCCAGATATGTGGATTCTGAAACTTCTTATCTTGCTTTAGATTTTATGAATTTGTATCTCGTTTTAACATACCTATAGACAATGGAGCCAGGTAATATAGACCGAATACTTAAAAACAAGTACTTTTGTCACATTTGAAAGAAAATACATTTTATGGAAATAATTAAAAAAAAATCAGCTGACTTGGTTATTTCAAAATAGTTTCCCATAATTGTTATTATATACTCTGAAGACTAAGATGTTATCTTATTTGATAATCTGTTTAAAAAATGTGAATGAATTATGGTAGCATTGGAAACATTTACAAAAATAGTTATCTGTAGGTTTTTATTTTATAGCTAGCCTCCCCCATCAAAGATAATAGTTACACTTTCAGTGAAGTGAAGAATAGTCAGGGAAGTGATCTTGACTAGACATTTGATTCTTGCTGAAACAAAACTGGCTTGCAGATCTGGGAAAGGCGAGGTAGGGAAGATGGATGGTTTAGGAGGAGAGGCATATTTGTACAGTCTCCTATAAGGGGGTAAAATTTGGAACTCAGATTTTCATTAACTCCATAGAGTTACATGACTGATACAGAAGCACAGAGCTCCTTCAAGGATTCGACCTGTTGGAATTTCTTAGCTTTTTCTTATCAAGACTTCTTTATACTCTTAAAATTTATTGAGGACCCCAAGAAGCTTAATATTTGCTATGTTACAAATTAAAAGTGATAAAACTAAAAAATATAAATTCATGAAAAATACCCAAAATAAATTCATTATAAATAGCATATTTTCATGAAAAATAATAGTTTATGAAATCATGAAAAAATATCATTGCTGTGAGTTTTTGTCAATCCCATTAACATCTGGCTTGTTTAAAGACAGCTAGATTCATACATGTGCTTCTGCAATCTGTCATTTGGAATATTTCACTATAAGTCATGAGAGATGAGAGTAGAATAGACAACTTATATTTTAGTAGTAGTAAGAAAACATTTTTGGACTCATGAACTCCTGAGAGGATTTCAGGGACTTCTTGGCAGGAGCTGGGTGGGAGGGGGTCCCTGGACTATACTCTGAGAACCACTGGATGAAACTATATATATTTCTTGATGACCATTTCCTTGGTATCTTTTCTTCTGCTCCTTGGGGCCTGGTAAAATATTCTTTATGTTGACTCCTCAAATGTGTTTACTGATTAAAATTTCCTCTATAAAATTCCAGGGGAAGGAACCATCTAGTGAATCAGGCCTTCACTTCCTTTTCACAATGCCTTTCCCCTTAATTAGTCATGCTGTAAGAATCCATCTCACTCCTTTGACTCAGCCGCCGTAGAGGTGCCACCAGACTCTTTTTACTATGCCTGATGACATTGTAGACTGGTTACAAATCAAGATAAGTAGTTCAGGAAAAAAATATTCCCTTTTCAGTGCAAAGAATTCTAGGAAGTCTTGAAGGTTGCTGGGAGAAAGAAACTAGAATTGTTTCCTAGAAACGGAGTGGAAAAGTCTTTGGAGAAGTTTTTGGGGGCCTAGCTGGCACATGGGATCCGCTCTGCTCTCCAGGAAGCATATGCCACCTTCTAGTTTGCATTTCTGCACCAAGGCAGTGGCAGGTGTCCCAAAGAGTGAGTGGGAAGTAATCATCAGCTCTCCAAGTAACAGCATTTTCATTTGCTAAATGTTATGTTAATGTTCTCCAAACCGATGGTAGAATTATACAAACTTAGGCTGAAAATATGGATACTGTTCATATTAAGTTTTCAGACTTTTGATAAAATGTAGGTAAATATCAAAAAGTATCATAAAAATTATACAGTAAATTTTATGTAGAACAAATATGTGTACAACTGACAACATTTACATTGGAAAATTTTATTTATCAGCTATGTTAGAAAAATGCCTGCATGAATATAGCAGCATACAAACAGTTGCTTTTGCATTTGACTTGCAAATAAATGGAAGCAACAACATTTTAAAAACTGCATGATTTTGTGTGCTTTATCTGGATGAGTAGTGGCATTTTCTAACTGCTTGCCTCTTGGGCACATAAGTCATCATGGTACATCTTTACTAATAGACTTTGAACTTCTTTCTCTGTCCTTTTCTTCTGGGCCGTATATTGCCGCCTTTAGCGCTTCAGCATGGAAGGGATCTCAAATGTCATTCAGAATGGCCTCCGCCACACCTTTGGAAATTCAGGTGGAGAGAAACAGGTGCTCGGTTATCCTTATTTTCCTCATTCTCTGCTTTTTCATTTTCTGTGTAAGTGAAGATCCTGAAAGCTGGTAGTTTTACTAATTTACTAAGACCATTGCTTAAAAGAGAGAAATCAAAGTTCATTATAAAAGTTCATTATATTTATAGTCTTGATAATGAACAGAATTTCCCTTTGAGGAAAAAGCATTTTTCAAATTGGACATTAGATTAAATGCATTCTTAAGACATATTTTAGAGCCCCATTTCTCACTTAGTTTTAAACAAATAGACATTAACATTTTAACATAATGTATTGCATGTGTAGAAAATCTGCTTATGAAAATAACTAAACTAAAATATGTGACTCTAATTCTAAAAGTCTAAGCAAGATGTCATTTTTGGGGTAAGGCCAGTTGTTGGTATTTGAGACTAGAGTTCTAGGTAAAAAATATATACAGAGTATATCTTACCTCCTTTAAGTGAAATTCATGTGTTTTTAAGGTGTATTACCTAGTCAGCCAACTCAGTTGTCAGCCAAACGAGCCTGAGACATTATTTATACAAAATTATACATAGATATTAATATACAATGAAGTATCTAGCAATTTGCTTTTTGTTGACATTTTTATATAATGATTGAAGGAATATCATGAACATGGGACATATTCACATTAATGGGTGTGCTTAAACTTACCTTTCACTGTTTGAAATTTTCACCTTAAAAAGAAAACTAAAGTTAGCTCTTCTGTGCAGATTAAGAAGGTATACAAAATGTACCTTGTAGGAAGTTTAGCACAAGAATGCCTAGATCAAATGCGTGGAGTTTTTCTGAAGTCATTGCTATGTGTTTCATAAGTCATTGCTATTAAAGAGAGAAGTTTCACACTGACATTTGCAGCTCCATGAAGAGATGCTTGAATTTTTGTTTCCATTCTGGTGTCTCTCACCTCTCTCAACCTCACAAGAGGTCAAGGAAACTTCCAAACTGTGAGTGGAGCAGGGAGGCCTGACAACGCAGCCAGGTAGCCAGAGAGCGGGCCAGGGTGCAGCCTCCTGGTGCCTCTCCAGGGTGTCTGACACATGCTATGAGTGAAGCCAGGAAGGCATAATTTATGGCCTTTTTTTTGGTTGTTCTTTACAAAGAAACATTCGATTATACAATTGGGCATCACCTGCGAGAAGTCTGCATCAAAAAGACAGTGGAACACTTAAGTGTCTTAAAGATTGAATGATGCAATTTTATCACTTTTCTGGACTTAGGGATCCAGTTATTGTAAAGCAGCTTTCTTTATCTTGTTTTTCAATTATAGGCAGGATAAGATCACTCAATGAGGATTAGCCACAGAGCTGAGATTTAGGGCACCAGGTTAAATAATGGGTGGAGCTAAAGAGATTCCAAGTAAAAACCACTGGCTTTCTATATGAACATATGTGAAATGCACGGAACTATCCATTTTTTTTGGTGGGATGGTAAGAATAGGAGAATCTGGATAATCATTTATGGATTATGCTTTCATGGGATTAGTTATAAGACATGGCTCTGTTACTTGTGAGCCTTTACAAGTAGTGAACTAGGCAGTTTGTCTCCATTTCAGATGTTAATTTTCACTATTCATTTCCCTTTGGGCCATTCTCTACTTTCACTTTTCTCCTTTAATACCTAAAAATGTTTATAAAGACTTATCCAATAATTTAACATAACAGTAATAATGCATTTCTAAAACTATTTAAGTGTGTCTTTGTTAGTGTCTGAAAGAAGTTAGTGTGTGTTTTTAAAAGTTGTCATATTATATATGTGGCCCGTTTGTTCAACCAGAATAAAAATGGTCTGAAACAGAATTATTTTGCTGTTGGAAATTACTTTATTGTGCAAAACAATTAAAACTGTTTTTAGTTTAAGTTGCTATTTTCATAATGTGTTGAAAAATATGCAAGGAGAATGTGAGATAATACTTCATTTTAAAAATGAACACATTGAGTAAATCATCCTCAGGCTTAGTCCTATGAAATTTTCAATAATTGAAATGCAAAAAAGTGGTTATTTCTGTTGACACTAGGTTTTTATCAAGCAAATAGAGATGGGCCAAAAAAAAAAAAATGAGCTCCATCTGAGATAGTAAGATACCTTTATTCCCATATCAAGACCTGTGTTTTCATTACCAGAGTAGCTCGTGTTTTATATTATGAAGTAGACCTTCTTGTAATAGTATCAAATTTTTTGCAGGTAAGGAAATGCAGATTTAAGTGACGTATTGTTTTGTTTTTTTAACTTGGCAGTATTTGACTACAGTCATTCCTTATGAGAAAAAAAATGGACCACCATCTGTTGAAGATCTTCAAATATTAACAAAAAGTGAGCAAAGACCAAATGAAACTATTACCTGATTTACTTTTGCTGATTAGTAAACACCTGACTTTAGCTAGCTGATTTTATTGTTAGTGTTTTGTCAATTTAGGATTGTAATATCATTGCATATCATTGTTGATTTTTATAAGAATGAAGCCAAAAATGGCTTTGACATTAAATACAACAGTACCTCTAGTGTTGATTTGTATTTTTTCTGTTTTTCTTACCTTGTGAAATATTTATGAGCAAAAATTTTGAGAAAAAGCATTATCTGAATCTTCATCCTCTCATATGCTTAGAACATATCCATTTATCACAAATAAAATTCTCTATGGATCTTATATGACTGTCAATAACTGAATAGGAAAGATTTAGGGTAAACACTTATTTCTTATGAATGTAGAGCCCAAGGTAGTAGTTGTAGGTAGAACACAAACTGACAGTAATGTTTTCAGAACATGCAACAGGGTGCAGTGGCTCAGGCCTGTAATTCCCAGCACTTTGGGAGGCTGAGGCGGGCAGATCAAGAGGTCAAGGATTGGAGACCAGCCTGGCCAACATAGTGAAACACCATCTCTACTAAAAATACAAAAATCAGCCAGGCGTGGTGGCAGGTGTCTGTAGTCCCAGCCACTTGGAAGGCTGGGGCAGGAGAATCGTTTGAACCTGGGAGACGGAGGTTGTGGTGAGCCGAGATTATGCCATTGCACTCCAGCCTGGGCAACGAGAATGAAACTCTGTCTCAAAAAAAAAAAAAAAAAAAAAAAAATGCATTCATTCAGCAAATGTTTGGTAAAGGCCTACTCTTTACCAGACCATGATCTGGGCACTTGGGATACTTTAGTGAACAAAGCTGACAAAGACAATCCACCTTCAAGGGGCTTGCAGTAAAAAACAATTGTGAGATTTAAATATACATTACATTGAATTTCCCTTGTGATAGCCGTAAATGAGCCCTGAATTCTGAATTCCCGTTCTATCCATGTTATTTTCAGGGATGTCCTTTGAAGTTATTTATTCTCTTTTGCTCAATTGAAAAACTAGGATAAAAAGTATTTGTTCTATTTACCTCACACTAAGCAGATTAATATGTACATGATTTGGGCTAAGTTACTATCAATTAGCCTCGTTGTCATTGCTGTTAATATGGAGGGATTGAATTGCGGATCTGTTGAAAAAGCATCACAAGGATGAGTATTGATATTTATTTTGGAAATTCAAGGAACTTGGAGCTTTAATTCTTTCCTTTGGTGAATAATATGTTAAAAAGGTTTATATTTAAATATGGATAAATCAAGTGATGCCAGCCAGTCTGAAATAAGGAATCAAGAGATTAACTGGGTAGGTAGCCCTCTTATTTTCAGGAAGAACTCATGAAGTTATGCGTGTCCAAGATCCCACAGGGGATGGTTAATTACAGAGCTGGGTCTCTTAATTCCCAGGAAACTATACTTTTAATGATGCTGGTTTTTAGTATGTGGTTTTTATATAGAAGTTAGAAAAAATTTTAAACATGATTGGAAGCAGAAATACTGAACATGGTAGCCCTTTAAAGAAGGGAACATAAATAAATATTGCTCATAAGCCAGAAATTACTGGCAAGCCTCAGCTTCTCAGATCAAGAACAAATACTTTGTTGGTCAAACTAATGTCATCGTAATTTCAACATCTAGATGTCTTTATAGGTTGACACAATTTGGAATCTTTGGACATATTTGGGTCCAAAGCTCCTTTTCTTTCCAAAAGAAGAGCCCTGTGGAGACAGTCACACTGTTTATGGATATATAGTCTTCCTCTTAAAAGCTGTTAGGGATTCTGGGTGCAATAATAATAGTAATAAAATTTTTAATAATATTAGTAATGTTAGTTACAGTTAACACTTAACATAGCATGTATTATGTGCCAGGCACTATAATATATGTGCCAGACCTTTATATCTGAATTAGTAGCTTAGTCCTCATAACAAACCTTTGAGATTAAATCTAATTATTATTCTCATTTCACGGATGAAGAGCTTATGCAAAAGTGGTTAAGTAGCTTTCTCAGTGTCACACAGTTAGGAAGAGGCAGAGCCAGGGTTTAAACCCAGGAAGGCTGACTTGACAGTTATGTTACGTTGCCTTGTCATATGGGTGGGGAGAAACAGTGAAATATTTTTACCAGGATGCTCTGGAGAAAATTTGAATTGGCTGTCTGGGCGCGATGGCTCATACCTGTAATCCCAGCACTTTGGGAGGCCGAGATGGGTGGATCACCTGAGGTCAGGAGTTCGAGACCAGCCTGACCAACATGGAGGAAACCCCAATCTCTACTAAAAATACAAAATTATCTGGGGGTGGTGGCTCATGCCTGTAATCCCAACTACTCAGGAGGCTGAGACAGGAGAATCACTTGAACCCAGGAGCAGGAGGTTGTGGTAAACTGAGATCACGCCATTGCATTCCAGCCTGGGCAACAAGAGTGAAACTCTATCTCAAAAAAAAAAAATTTGAGTTGGCAATCTCTGTTAAAGTACAATATTTGTGAGTTTATCTCAACCTGAATGGTCTAGCTTAAAAAAGAAAAACATTATACTAGGTGGCTGTGTTTTTTCTTTTAGTTTTTACTTAGAAGATAAAAGCGTCCGTTTAGGATGAGGCTAATTCACCTAGGTTCCTCCATAGTGCAGATGCCAGGCAGATGCCATGTGCTGCTTCATGGAAGTCTGTTCTTCATTTGGGTCTTTTCTTTGAAAGTTTCCAAGGAGTCTTACAGATATGCTTGTTGGAGGGTATAGCTAACTGTCAATTTCTCTAAGAGTTTCTCTAGCTTGCTTGTTCTATAGCACTGAGGTCCTCTTGTTGCACAGAGTTCATTGAGGTGCACATTGCAGTAACCCACTTTCCAGTATTATTACAGAGGGAAGGCTCCATGTAAATAACCTGATTCTTCTTTTTTTGCCTCCACTGTTTGGAAATTTTAAATCAGGGAAATAACTCTCAGGTATGTGGATATTCTTACCTAAAATAAATTCTTGTGAACATACTCCACTAAAATAAATTACTGGGACTTTACTGTTGTATTCCCTTATCAGGAAAATCACCTATAATTAGTATGAGTCAGTTATATCTTATAATTAAGGAAGATTAAGGCCACAATGATTGAAATTAAATAATATTTTTGATCTGAATTTTTTTGTTGTCTTTTTTCCCCCTCTTCTGTTTTGCAGTTCTTCGTGCCATGAAGGATGACAGTGAAAAAGTTCCAAGCTTGTTAACTGATTATATTCTGAAAGGTGAATTTTATAATGGTATAGGTATGATGGCTGGGAAGTTTGGATTAATCAGTAAATGCATTGTCTTGCTAATAGATTAGATAGTAACTTCCCAATGCACAATTTTCATTAATTTTATTATGCAGGGTGAGGATTAGATACATGACTAACTTCTACCAACATTATATATTATAGTTTTATAAAATTTAACTTTTATTGGAGGTTCTGGGCTGGAAATAATCTCCACAGCTAAACTATAAACATTGAGGGAGGCAGTAGAAGAAAATTAGTGAGATGTTGCCATCATCATATGGGTATCATGCTGGCAGGCTGACACGGAAATTTGAGAAGGATGGTCTCTGTCATCTTGGGGACAGTGCAAAGGAAGGACAGATCATTAGTGAGGATGGATGAAGGAAGAGTCACTTCTGTGAACAGTGCCAAAGGGAATACAAAAGGGACTGATGTAAGGCCCAGGGAGGGACGCAGGGAATAAAAAGAATGGACTTTCCTAAGCTCAGGGCAGTGAAAAAGCGGCCACAAATCTTAGAGGCAAGATCAGGCACACACAGGATGGGAATATTGATGAGGCAAAAGAAGAGTGAGAAGTTGAGTTACTTTGCTGAGGAAATAGCAAAATTTGGCTGATGAAGGGACTGAGGACTTAATTAGAGGCAAAATTAATACTTTTCAATGAAATATTTTTTTAAAGTAGCAGTTATTCAGGGGCCAGAATTTGCAAGCATCACAAAATGCATCTTGTAGTGTTTGATCACATTTTGAGAGCAATCCTCTTCTAATAACAGTTTTCTTCTTTGGGTTCAGTCTCTTCTCCATTAAAGTTAGCTGAGCACAAGGAAGATGCTTTCTGAGACATTCGAAATCTCAGATGGACTTTTCTTAAATCATAGCATCATAAAAGGGGAACCTCGGTAGTATACACAGTGCTCAGTGAATCACACGTTTCACTTGTAAGAGTCTTGATGCGTTAAGATTAAGAAGCATGAGCTAGCCATTAGTGGGTTAACACTGGGCTACAGCAGACTGAATTAACATCATTTTAAAAAATAAGCTGTTTTTCTGATGGAGGACTTTTTCTCCCTATTAAATGCTGATTTTTTTTTTTTTAATACCTGACGTCTTTGTTTGCTTTTGTGTTGTGCTAGCATTGGTATAAAAGCTGGATTGTTCTGAGGTTTGTTCTAGATGTGAAAAAGGGATAAGACGAACATAAAGAACATGTCTTAAATTTTAATTTTAGCGGGTCCCTAGGGCTCTATGAGGGACAGAGGTAGAATGAGCTTCTGAAGCATTCTCTAGCTATTTTAGCATTTAACTGCTTGGAAGGATGTTATGACCCAAAGAACAGAGTCCTCTGGGGGAAAATGATTTTTAATTCTCTACTCTGAAAACCTAGGACTGTAATTGTGAACCTACCTATACCGCATGCCTTAGGGAAGCAGCACCCATCTAATTCTGCTCCTCATGCTCGGGCCGCTGGCTCCTGTCTGTAAGCCCAGTTCTATCTATACTGTACCTGCTTCTGATGAGTCTGTGTGCATGTGTTGTGGTTTTGTCTTGGCTTTGTATTGTGAGGACTGGGTGGAAAAGAAGCAAGGATTCAGACTACAGTGGAGACTGTAGTCAGAGAAAATGAAGACGGGAATGTAATATGGAGACCTATTTAAGTGTGTGGGAAGGTGCTGGAGTGGGGTCATTGAAAATGCTCTTTTCCACCCATCCTGAAAGTTCACAGCTGGTTAACTGTTCCTTTTCCTTGGGGACCAGTAATTGGACGCTTTGCCTGGGAGGGGGATATTGCTTAAGGGGATAACGCGCCTTCCCCTTTTTTGGCTAGTTTGTTGTTAACACAGATGAGAGAGTGGCTTGGCTGTCTAAATACACCATCTTAGTTTTAATGCAAAAGTCAGAAGTGAAAGAAGGCAGAAAAGTGATCTTATTTGGCCTGAGAAAGGTAGGGGGGTGGGCACTGTATGGGCTGAGCCTCTCTTTCACACCTGCTTCATTGCCTGACTGCAGCTTGCTGCCTTGACAGTACCCGAGGCTCATTCCGAAGCCTGGCCATGCTGATCCTAGTCAGGAATAAAAATGTGTGCAGAAGGGAGCCTGTTTGATGAGTTATAAGCCTCATGGTATAGGGTGAATGTCATGGGCTTCTGTCTTCAAGTGGCACCCTAAGAGACATGGCCTTTTGGTATCTCATTTCTAGGCAATTATCTAATGTGTCTTGAGAGAACTCATCCTTGTTGGGTAGAGCCTCTTAAAACCTTTAAAAAATTGCTACTATAGATCTTTGCATTAATGTTTAGTTCCCATTACTGTTTTTAAATGTACTTGTAAAATTTACATTTTGTGTACATGTATACAAAAGATATTTTTATCTAAAAGTTCTCTTTTTCTTCTAGTTCTGTGTCCTACATAAAGCAGCATTACTTCAGGAGCAGCAACTTTATCTGCGGTGGGACTCCGAGCTAGATTTCCTACAGCATTATTCTGAAAGCTGGCCACCATTACCTTCTTGCTATTGGAAACTCAGCACATTTGAACTTCGGTTTGATTCAGTATTAACAGATCTTGGCTTCACTAATTCTTTATATTATAGAACCGATGGAAATATGGGCACTATTTTGAATTCTAGAGATGGTTTTAAAGTCAACTAATAATTATGAACTGTTCTTAGTACAGAGAGTAGTATTAATTGTGCATGTGCAGTTATATTTCTCATTAACTGACAGTATGCCAGTTTGTTTTTACGGCTTTCTAATCTACACTGCACTGATGAACTAGATTAAAGCCTTGGGAGATTTATGCTACAAATTCAGTGATAGCAAGAACCAGCACTGATTTTTGTGAGAATTGTCAGTATAAATATTACCTACCAGTATTGTTCAGAGAGACTGAAATAAACTTGGGCTGTTCTTGAAGAGGCAAAACCAGAATATGCATTACAGTGGCTTAATACTTAGTGAACACTGAAACTGTTGGTGATGATTGGATTTTATAGCTTGCTGCTTGTTTCACCTTTGGTAAAATTTTAACCGTTAAATTGCCACTTTTAGAATCTTGTGTTAACTTTTGAGATGTTCCAATGTTCTGCTTCATATGTCTGTGAATTGTACTTGGATAGTTTGTATCCTCTGAGGTGCTTAAAGTGTATCCTGCAGAACTGCCCATTCCCATGACGGTCAAATTTTATTCATGCCTGTGTGTTTTTCTTAAGTATGAATTCTAGAAACAGCTACTTACGGGTTCAATATCATAAGCGCTTTTGCCAGTTCCAATCAAATCAATGGCATTTAATAAATTTTTTAAAAAGTAAAAATAGTATATGTTTGAGAGCTATATATTTGGGAGTTTGTCTTGTATTTTTTTTTCTTACAGTGCTAGATTCTTTCCCTTAATTAATTCCATGCAGAGCCCATCGCTACAGTGTTTGAGCAGGTGAAACCCTGATGAGTCCCAGAATGCTATGGAGGGGAGAGAGGACTTTTTTAGAGGATGACGAGATGCTGTGGAATGACAGAAGTCCTGCTCTTTTTCTGGGGCTGTGAGACATTCCAAACAAACAGCCATGCAGCCCTGTACCACAGATGACATGAATGAAGTTAAGAGTCTGGGACCTGCTACAGGAGGCTTTCCCAATTCCACTTAAACAGCTGTGAGCAAACAGGGCTGTGTGTATTCCTCACTCCACTCAGCAACTCAGACACCATGACTACAAAGGCAGGAGCTTGGTTTGAAGTGTAATGCCTGCTTGGCATTTCAGCTGTGATCCAGGTATGAGAAACTTGAGATGGTTTCCTTGTTTTATGAATGTTCTTAGGTGGAACTTACTGGCCCCTTCCCCATGAATTGAAGATACATAACACAGTCATATTAACAAATTAATTTGATGTGACTTTGTAAAAATGATGCCTTGTACTGAAGAAATGTAGTTTTACAGGATATATAATACAGCAGAAAGTTTTTTGGGGATTTTTTTTTTTTAAAAAAGGGATTCGACAGTGATCTGTTTATAGCTCATTCTTAAATTGATGCTTCTAAAGTGTATGAAAATATACCTATTTTTTCCTACCAGCTCAAAATCCCTTTGTAGTTAGGCTTCCCCTGATTTTGCTTGGTAAAAGTCTTTCTCCTTCAGCATTGAACTGCTGTCGGGTTGCCCACCACAATGCTCCTGTGCATAACAAGTTAGTTTTGATACTAGCTATGAGCATGTTTCTGGCAGCAGGTAGGTTTCTTGTCTCCCTAAAAACAGCACCCTCATGCTGTGTACTCTGAGACACACTTTTCTTTTTGCAAGGATTTCTTGGGAAAGACCTGCCTAATGAGAAAAGCATGGGGACTTCTTGTGACACGAGGTTCACTGGACTGATGACCTTACAAGGACAGTTTGTCTTTGGGATCCCAGAGATGGAATCTTTTTGAAAGTTACACCATGTGATTTCAACTCAAAATGTTTATTTCCTGCAAGAATCAAATTGCAAATAATTCTCTTACAGCTTTGTTTTTTGAAGAAAACAAAAACAAACTGTAGAACTATGGTGCACTCCAAGTGCCATATATCTATTTTATTCTTCAGGAAATTATATTTGTTTTTCTTTTACAAGAGTACAACAGGAACCAAAGTAAAAGAGTAATAGATACAGCACTCAGGATAAATCATATCTTTAAAATAATAATAAAAAAATTTACACCTTGTCCTATATCCTGTTAGTATTTTCATAATATGGCCATGATTGAAAAAACAAAAAGCAAGCATCTACAATTTTTTTGATAAAGACTTTTTATGCCAGGAATGGATTAATTACCAACAAAATTTATACTAATCAGGCTGATGTCAATCTATTTTGGTAACATGTCATTAACAAATTTATTTTGGAAAAAGATAAAAATATTGCCCCTTGATAATAAATCTTTTTTTTCCTTTGATGCAAACAGCTAGAACACCTTTTTCTTTTTCTTTTTGATATTCTAAGACAAAAAAATGGTTAATCTTCAGATTAATAAATTAGGTCATTATAATAATAAATTAATTTTTTTTAAAGTTCAGCAACCTCTGTCCAAGTATTTACAACAATACTTGAAAGTTCCTTTACAAAACAGAACACATTTTCTTTTCACATTAAGCATACTGGGTATCTGTGTCTTTCACAACAAGCATTTTTAAAAGAAAACTCAATGCACAAATGGGTTAATTAGTATAAAAGTGCTAAGGGCTGTTTGAAAAGTTAACACTATAGTATACAGTCAGTTATATTTGAGGCATACTACAACAAACTTCCAGCTTATTGTGGACAATATTCCAGTAGTTGTTTCAAACCATTGTTTGAAAAAAAAAAAAAATCCAGGAGCTGATTAGTGATGCAGATAAGAACTGCCATTAATGTCTCTGGCCAGTGAGCAAATTGAAAGCCAACTGAAAGCAAATCCAAATGAGGAAGATTTTAATAAAGGAATACCCTTCTCCATAGCAGGTGCAATGCTGACTGCTCAAGGCGTGCATGCACACACACACATACATACTCTCACACACACATTTTTGCAATTAAACTGCAGGTATAATGAGATTTTGTGTTATTCAAAAAATTTGTAAGTGATCAAAAGCATTGATATGGAATGCTTGTTTATCTGCCTTTGTTCTGGTTAAAATCTCATAAAAATACATTCAACAGGAAAACATAAATTGTATGTGTATAAATATATATGTATATATATATTATATACACATGCACACAAATAGTTTTGTTTTTTGAAGCATAACATAGTTACATAAATACTCCTATAATTGCTAAAGTTTAAAGAGGCATCTTTTTTTTTTCAGCTTCAACAAAGGTGCTTGAATAATATACAATTAAAATGAAGTAGTTTCTATTCTGTAGAATCAGTATATAATAAGGAAAAAGAATCCCCAAACAGTCTTTTTTTAAAAAGTTTCTTCTTAAGCTAGAGCTTCAACAAAAACTATGAACAACCAACAATATAACAGAACAAAGCAACAACAAACAGTAAAATATAGCCCCTGGATTTTGCCTGGTGTTCGTCACCCTCTCCCTCCTTCCTGTCACGTTGTTGTAAGAAAAGCTCCAGTGCTCACATCAAGAAATGACTTAGATCTTGTTCATGTGCTGACTCTGCTAGGAACTGGCTGATTGGCTTGGAAGAAAATAAAAGCAGCAAAAAGTATAACTGTATATATTCTTAATAACCCGCTTTCGAGAAATGTCGCTATCGCATTTCTCTGGCTTCCTCACTGCCTACTGCAGTTGTGACTGTATAGAAAAGAAACTTGTGGCTTTAGACCTGGGATGGCTGTCAAAAGGTTCTGATATGCTTGTCTGGTAGTTCTAAGGTGGTTATGGCAGCTGGGTCGCAAGGCCTTTTTTGTTTCCTGCTCATTCAGGCCTGAGCTTTGCAGCAGCCAGTGCAGTCTTCAGAGCATTAAGAAAAAAATACCCTCTGGGCCACTGAACTGCTTTTATGTTACCAGGTTTCTCCCCAAGCCAAGCTGACCAATTTTTCTTCCTGACACCACCCTCCCACCCATTTCCCCATCCAAACTCACTGTCCCCACCCCAAATATCTCTACAGCTATCTTACAGGCAAATATATCTTAGCAACTTTAAAAACTTTGGTTCTAAGAAAACACTTGGTCAGTTATCTTGAGGAAAAGTGGGAATGCTTGTTCTGCACACTGCTGTAGACAGAGCCCATCCCAGTAAGGTCTTAGCGCTGTACATCAAGTCACAATCCAATACAATCCACTAAGCAAGTGCACAAATTCTAGTTTACTTTTAAGAGCAGATTTAGTTGTCTTCTGTCTTTTGAAACCTCATCCGAGTTGCCCTTCTTCACACTGTTTGGTAGAAATTGTCTGCCTGTAGATGGTTCTGTTTTTGCATGCTGTAGAAGCCACTGAATCTTGCATCTGGTTCTGCAATTCTTAGCATTCTCTGGGAACTGTCCACCTGGACTCTGGTTCCTTTCTTGCAGTCCACAGATACTAGCTGATTACTTAAGGAAGAAGGCTATTTAATGAGAGGAGGAATAAAACCACAAAGAATTAGCTGCTTTATATTATCTCAAATGAACAGAAATTTAGTACCTAATTCGAGTGAGATAACAGTTTCACAATTCATTGATAGACTATATGCAGAGTATCACATCCTGTTCTAGTATCAACTATACTTTTATGAGGGACACCAACAAACTGTATTTAAGGGTGAAATGTCAAGAAATTACGTCAAATAGGGAGATAACGGAAGTGAAGACACAAAAAAAGACTGGTGAAATGATTTCAAATCCTTGAAGTGCAGACCTGTGTTTTAAGGGGCTGAATGAGCAGCAGGTAGGCAGATTTTAAAAACCAAGGGATAGAACACCCTCATAGGCTGGGCCAGTCCATGTGTTTCTAGTCATTCTATACACTTACTGAGTGGGTCTATTGCCCAGCTTTGGACACTGGTAACTATCCCGACCCAGCATGTGCCCAGCATAGAGGCTGTGCCCAAGGCACATTTGTTCACAGAAAAATAGAAGGCAGGATAACTGCAGGACAGAATTTTCACATGGAAGAGTTAACCAGATAGTAAATTATATTACATAAGTGTTCAGGCTGTTTCCAATTCTTAAGGTTGTATGATTAAACTAACTAAAGGCAAAAGGTAGAATTACGAGTTGGAGGGGATTATGATTTATTTCCCTTAATCCAGTTCTTATCTTTCAAAATAGGCATATTTAGAGGCCCTTTATTTTTGTACTGAAAACAAACATGTATCTTTTCTCTCTCAATATGAAATCTGCCTCTCCGTACCTTGTCTATTACTTTCCACCATCTCTTCATCTTTTGTGACCTTTCCACTTGATGCTTGCCTCTGATGCATCCACCTGTCCTTTTGCCTTTTGTATATCCTCATGATCTCCCAGCCTTCTCCTGAATATTATTCTCCCGCCCTTTGTGATTTCTTTTCTCTCCCAATTTTAAGATGTCTGATGACTGAGAAATACCAGGTGATGAAGTTTTAATGTCTAATATAAACAATGATTTAGGAATAAATCCAGAGGTGTTCATTCATTTGAAAACTTTAGAGTACATCCAGAAAATTGGATCCATGTAAGGTCAGGATTCATTAACCAATGGATAATGGATAATTCACCTTGTGATCAGTCCAGCCCCAGGCAAGTACTATGTATCTGATTCATACTATATAGCCTGGTATGGATTTGAGGCTATGAATAGCAAAGTAAAAATTTCACTGGTTAAGACACAAGGTTTCAAGCAATTTCATTATCAGTGTAAGTTCTCCTAGATTCATGATTCAAGAGATTAACTTTTACAAGACAATACCTTAGTTGGTGTTCGATACCAGCAAAGCAGTGGTATCCACTGTTTCTTCTGATTGATGAATAGGAATGCTATTAAAATAGAGAGGCATATAACTATGGGAACCACAACTGAGGCAATTGAGTCCAGCGAAGAATCTTCACTTGGGTGTAGTCTGTTATCTCTGTAATCTACCTGGATGTGACCCATATCTAGGATAAAAAAAATTACAAGCATTTATTGCCTAAGCCAGAATTTCTAAGGATTATTTTAATTACACTGCAAACAGAGATCAGCAACTTGGTTTTACGGCTTCTCAGTACTCTGAGGCGAAAAATATGATTAAACTCTAATGTTGATCCAAAAGAGATCGTAGAAGAGGGGCAGAGTGCTTAGGGATCAATGTTAAAAAATCAGAGTGAAAATGTTAGTAATTGGATAAGATGATGCTGGCTCTAGCTCATCAAGAAAATAAGAAGGCACTTAGGTAGATTTTGAAAAAGTAACTAAAATTAGACCATTAAAATATTTAGATTACTATTAACATATATGGTCTTCTAAGATTCAGAAGGAGAAACATTAGCTGATCTCCTTGCTTACTGGCAAACAGGAGACCAGAACAAGGTATATTCTTTTACCTACTGGTGTAATAGAGAAGACTAATTAGATCAAAAACTAATCCGAATCAGGAGGCTGGTCTTTTGGTTGATATTCTGGTTCACTGAACTCTATGCAATATTGTCTTACTTTTCATAAACTTGTTGAAAATCTTGTTTAGGCCTATTACATCATTTTCCTGCCTTAATGAATTATATTGCATAGGTGATTACATTTAGTTTTACACTTATGAATGATGACCTTTATGTTCTTTTTTTTTTTTTTGAGACAGAGTTTCGCTCTTGTTACCCAGGCTGGAGTGCAATGGCGCGATCTCGGCTCACTGCAACCTCCGCCTCCTGGGCTCAGGCAATTCTCCTGCCTCAACCTCCTGAGTAGCTAGGATTACAGGCACGTGCCACCATGCCCAGCTAATTTTTTGTATTTTTTTTTTTTTTAGTAGAGACGGGGTTTCACCATGTTGACCAGGATGGTCTCGATCTCTTGACCTCGTGACCCACCCGCCTCGGCCTCCCAAAGTGCTGGGATTACAGGCTTGAGCCACCGCGCCCGGCCAGGTTCTTTTAAAATATCTCTCTTACAATGAATGTGGCAGACAGAAATAAGGTTAAATACATAAGAATAGGGGCCCTAAAGTTGCCTAGACGCATACATTTTCTTGCTATTGACACATGAGAAAATTTCTCTTCTGGGGCTTTATAACACAGATATATGCAATGCACAGGTCTTCAACATACTGTAAGTATGGCTATTCTTGTGACTGAAGTCTAGCATCTAGAACAGGGCCTGGCATACAGCAGGCACTAATATTTATTGACTGAATGAATATAAGCATAATGCTAAAGCACATTCAGTCAGAACAATTATACAAAGAGCCAAAAACACTAGGTCCAGGAATATGGCTTTCTGGTCAACTGGCTTGATCCAAGCATAATGTTTAGAATATCTAACAATCTCTCAAGCAATGAATACTACTTCTTCCAAAAGAATTATAAACATTATATTGCAATGATTTGGAAAATGTGCTTGGAGTAGACAGGAGGCAGTCCTGAGTCACAGCTAAGAGCAACTTTATACTATTGATCAAGAAGAGGTCTACTTTTATAGAACAGGAAATATTAACAGCTATTGGGAGACAAAAATAACATTTTTATTATACACAATCTGAAAGGATTGAGCAAGAAAAAAAGGCACGGAATAAATCTGGTGACTGGAAAAATCAACACACGTATTAAACTCGCATGAAGTGAAAACTGCCCAGAAGGAGAGGGTAACCTAATGTATAAATGCTCAGTGCAGAATCTACAAGAGGCAGTGACTAATTCATGATTACTCTCCTTATAAAGTTTATATATACATACGTTTGAGAGATTGCTTAGAAGTTCCGGATACCATGCTCTTATGACTAGGAACATATTTATTGCCATCATCACAAAGTCTCTGAGCATAGAGGGCCAGGAAGGAGGCATTTAATCCAGTTACTGCTGACTTATTTTTATCAACGTGTGGTGTAAATATATTTCAGCCAACCAGGTCTAGCCGGGAGTAGTTATTTGAATTTATTTCAGCAAGTCATTTAAAAAGTTACTCATAGGAAATTTTAAAAATGAGAAAAAAGCCAAAGTAGACCACGTAGAAAACAAGCAATCTCAGGCTGCCTTTAATGCTTACCTCTAGGGAGGTGAACAATGTCATTTTCGCTAGGTGTGGGCCACAGGGGAACCTCCAGGTCAACCTCTCCTCGATGGTTTGTCTTCTCAATGGGTATATTGGTTGGTTCTGGAACATACATTTCTAAAAGAAGGGAATGTTTTCCATAAGAGATGATGAAGCATTGTTGGCTTTTGTATTCTCAATCCAAATGGGGCACTCAAGACACTTCCTGGGACGTGAAAGATGCAGTTTCTGCATTTACATCATTTATACCAGAGAATCACAAGCTTTGCAGTGAGGAGAAACATGTCTTATAAGATTTAAAAGACAGAAGAGCTGTCTACTCCACCAGGGTCAAACACTGCTTTTTCATGTCAAATGGTGGTGTTGGTTCTATAATTTTATGGAAACCAAACGGGACTAGCTGAAATGGAATTGTTTCTTTTACCTTCTGGCAACTAAATATTGACGTTTAATAGCTGCTGCTCTTTAATATAGGGGTGTTGAATCATTTACATAAAATATATTAGCAAAACTTGAAACAGTTAAAGCATTGTCCACTTCTTACGGATTTCTTGGTTATTTCCTCTCCCCTCTCTTTCCCTAAATGGGAACGGACTGTAGGTAGACTTCATGACTGTATGACTGTAAGTCTTAGATGTCCAGTATGTTACCACTGGAACCATTTAGATTAGAAACTGATCTTCAGTAAATATAATTACATCATCCAGTTTGATCAGCTAGGTATTATACTACAACATAAACTATCTGAGAAGAATATTATTTATCTCAAATAGGTATTTTTTTTAATCAGCTTTTCTCAGCTCCTACAAATATTTCTTTATACTTCATCCAGCTGACAAGTGGTCCCATATTTTAAAGCAATTAATTCTTAAGAACCTGTTTTCAAAATGTGACAATAAAAGTTTGCATCATACACCATTTCCTCTTGGCCAGATCCTGCCATATTATTCACTGATTTTTATAAAGCGATGACTCAACACTTAGGATCCTAAATACTCACCACAGCCTAATTTAGACCAACATAAAATATCCAGTATATAAATTAAAATAGGATTAATAATCCCGTCTGCTCAAAGTGATTGTTTTCTGTCTCAAAAGTTACCAGGCTTTTGAGAAGTAAATCTTAAGATCAATTTGAGAGAAGGAGGTAAGTGATAGAGAAGTACTTGCTAAGCTTCCACCATGAGTTAATGAAGTAACCAGCCAGAGAAATAAACCCAGAAAGGTTAAGTTAAATCACTCAAGATTATGCATCTAGTAAGTGGTAGAGCTGGGATTCAAATGCAGTTCTGTGATTCCAAAGCCCAAGTTTTCTTGCTGCCTCCAAGAATAGTCTTCTGCTTTCTTATACTATAAAGCCTTTACACATAAAACGAACTAGGAACAATTATAGTTTCTACAGGTTCAGTGCATCCCTGCAAACTCGAGAATTAAAAATAGAATTTACTGAAAATATTACCATTTGTAGGCGCAGGGGCCTGAGTACAAACCAGTGACTGTCAAATTTTTTTAATCCTACCAGAATTACCCAAAGAGCTTATAACGTGTGCTGACTCTCATAGGTCCTGATTCGGTAGGCCTGGACTAGGTGATTCCGAGAAGTATGCACAGGGGGATGGTATTTAACCCACCCCACTGAAAAATCCTGATGTGTGATATGAATTTCCTGGATGAATATGGGCAGAAAAGCCATGCTGCCATTGATCTGACGCCTTTCCGTGCCACACACGCTTCTGCTGCTTACCTGCCCAGCCCAGGGCTTCACATTGAGCCTTCCTATGACAACAGGGGCCCAACTGCCACAGGTTTCTGAGGCCTCAGGGTAAAAGGTGAATGCCAGACTGATTCCACCAAACCTGTGAATGTCAATGGCTAAGTAGCTAAAGCTTCTGCAGAGGCCCCAGAGCTGGGATTGATTCAGTTCCACCTCAGGTTTTTTTCCTGAGTGAGAGCAGTATAGAAGCAACTCTGGAATTCTTTTGCCTTGACCCTGCATGTGGGTAGATTTTGGGTGAAACACCACCAAGCTGAGGCATGATCGTGAGTTCTGTTCCCACAGGGATTCTACTTGGAAATGGCAGAGAAACTTAGAGAATCTGTCTATGGTGAAGGAAGATGTCTCCTTCAGTGATCAAGTATATTACCATTTGTTCAACAAGTATTTCCTGAGCACTTCCTACATGGCAGGCACTGGTTTTGGGCATACAGTTTTGAGTGAGACCAATCTTAGCCCCCATGGGTGTATCCCGACGAGTGATGCCTCACAGCCACTTCTCACGTCCAGCAGCTCGTAACCAGTCCTGTATTAGCTCACTTCAGCAGACTCAGTTCAGTTGATTAAAATCCACCCACACCTCCTTCTTTATCACAAAAACACTGACAGCTCCAGTTCAGAGTCCTCAAGTCCAAGGGAAGGCAGTCATTTCCCTTTAATTTGAACATAAAAGGGAAGCTGCCTCTGAGCAGTTTTGCCAAAAAGAACAATTCTTTCAGCAAAAAACTGCCTGCAGATACAAAAAGAAGTGGGAATACTATTTGTTTCCACGCCTAGACCCAGGCCTTCCTCCATGGCCAAAGACCACATTCAACCCCAGAGTCTAAAATATAACCCTTCTGGTATTTACTAGAAGAGCCCTTTATAGCTGTTGGCATAGCAGATGGACAGTGCCAGGGAGACTTACACAAAAGCTACATCCAGCTCTGCCATGAAGATCACAAACACATGGTCACAATCACTCCTGTCCTCATACTTGATCTGAGCTTTGGAGGAACTCGAGATAATTTACTGGGGATATATTTAACTTTAAGAGGCATCTGGTCATCTGCCTTCCTTAAAATAAAATGTCCTCTTCTGGAATATGGGGTGAGGCACTTGGTGCTCACAAGCTGAGGTCAGCACTTTTTTGGGAAATGGAACCTGAAGTCAATTTAGGACCAGGAGTCTCCTCCTATGCCAACTAGCTGCATTACTTTGGATAAAATACACTTAACTTTCCTGAGCCTCAGTTTCTTCTGTAAAATGAGACTGGTGCTAATCACGTAACCAGCTCATTGGTTCCGTACTCACACCCAAAGATGCTGGAGGTGGAAAGTGCTTTGTAAAGAGAGAGGATATTCAGAACCTTAGTTGCTGTGTCTAAAGGGCAAAGCAAGGTTCTTGTTTGCTGGACAGACCAGGCAGTGCTCCCATACCATCATTTCTGAGATGGTATAATCCTCACAGCATTTCTGGGAGGTGGCATGTGCTATCCAGATGAGAAATGGAAGCCTGAAACTTTGGTGATGAGCCTTGACTAAGATCACACAACGAGGTGATGCAAGAATGGGACAGGAATCCAGTCTTCCTGGCAGCCCATACTGGATCAAACAGAAGGCGGCAAAAGCTCAGCTGATTGTAACATTTGCTTAAAGATGGAAAAATGTTTCATCAGGAATACAGCAGATACAGAAAGGAGAGTTAATCAACAGAAATTAAATTTCAACCTAACAGTAAATCTTAACTGAGAAGTCACTGGAGAAATCTCTAGTGATGAATGAGGATGTTAGCAGTATCTGTGTATACTCTCTCTTATGAAACTCACAAAACAAGGAGAATGACTCTACCTCCATTTCTACCACCACTACACCTGAATTTGGGTCCTTATGATCACACCTAGGACATTTGCAGTGCAAGTTACAGCTGTCCTGGCCTCCGGTCTCTCTCTGCTTTAGTCCTTCCTGCATACCATCCCATTACACAAAGGTTACCCCAAAACACCTCTGTGATCGCTTCTTAAAAGTAAGCCTTCCCATTCCCTATGAAGAACAAAATCTCCACTCTTCATTTGATAATTAAGGCCTGAAAAATCGTGTCCAAAGCTAGCATTTCTGTCCTTACCTACTGCTACTAGAACTCACTGCTCCAGGGGCATCAGTCTTGACCTTAGAGGCACTGGCCTTGACTCTTCCCATCTCAGGTCTTGGTCAGGTTATCCTCTTCACTCCAATGAAGACAGCACATCTGTCCTTTAAGATCTAGCTCAAGTCCTTTCTCTGTGAAACATCCTCCAAGGACACTCAACTTCACAGTCCATCTTATTCATGAACTTTGCACTTAAGGTCTGCATGAGAGTTGTATAACTGTAACTCCCAATGGGAGAGGTGAATTGGATTCACTGCTCTTTGTGAAGTTCATTACAGCAGTGCTAGATGCACAAGTCAGTTCCCATATCTCATCTTGATTCGGGTGTTCACCCTTTCCTACCAGAAACCCTTTCTCCACCTGGCTTCCAGGTCACTGACCCTCCTGGCTTCCTCCTCAGTTCCTGGTGCTCCTTCTCTGTTTCTTTTGCTAGGCCCTCTGCACCTACTCAGTCTCCAAAAGTTAGGTCTCAGGGCTCAGTCCTGGGCTCTCTTTTCTTTTCTATCTATTCTTACTCTTGGGTGACGTCATCTAGTTTCAAGGCTTAAAAACCTTGAGACTAGAAACTACCTATAGCTGACTTTTAAATTTGTAGATCTACTTTCAATTTCTCTCCTGAACCCCAAATTACATACTGTCTATTCATTATCTCCACTTTGATGTTAAGTGAGTATTTCGAGCTAAAAATGCCCCAAACCAAAATGTTGTAGTCATCCTTGGCTACTCCCACATATATTCAAATCTTACTGATGCGACTCATATGCCGTAATGAGAACCCGCCCACTTCTCTCCACCACCATGGCCACTACCCTATCCAAGTCACTGTCATCTCTCACCTCGACTCATAAAATCCTCCAGGCTGGTCTCTCTGCTTTCACTCTTGACCTCCATGTCCCACAGTCTATGATCAACCCAGCACCAGAGAAATCCGTTCAAAGGTAAGTCAGATCCTGTTACTCCCTGCTCCAAACCTTCCAAGGTCTCATCTCACTCAATACAATCTTGTACTTATCTGCGAGACCCTTTGTGTCTGCCCATGGCTGCCTTTCTGCCCCACCTCTCACCTCCTCCGTGCTCACTGATTTCCCTCCACACAGCTCCTCCTGAACATGCACCCTGAACGCTGCTCCACCTTGAACACGCACAGCATGTTCCCAATCCAGGGCCTTGGCCCTGGCTATACTCAGAGGTTCTGCCTCTTCCCCATGAGAACTGCTATTCTGGGCCTCTCCATAAATCCCCTCTTGTTGGTAAGGTGCTACCTGACCATCCTACATAATAAAAAACAACCTGCCTGCCCACTTCTCCTCAGCTCTCTGTCTTGCTACGCCTTTCTCCACAGCATGATCCCCATCTCGGTGGCTGCCTATTTACTGTTTACCTGTTAGCTACCTGGCTTCTCCCAACTACAACATAAGCGACATGTGCACTGCTATCTCATCCACTGCTGTGTCCCCAGTGCCTAGAACAGTGCTTCGCACATAACAGGCATTAAATGGATTTTCGTGAAATAAATAAGGTCAAGTTTCATCATTTATATCATTAAAAGCATATTACTGGGGAAACTGGTATGAAACTTGTGAAACATAGGTGATATATGCTAGATAAAATAATTCCAGTGGGAAACCACATATTTTTTCTTACTCTCATTTAAAACATTTAAGACTTTTTTTTTTCCATACACACAGCAAGTGATAAAATGTCACTGCAGTGAATCTTTGACTCTCCATGTACACTTTTAACAAGACCAATGAGACTAAGAGAACCCAACTGAAGGCTCTGAAAATGGTTCCACCCCCTTATACCTGGCAGAACATCCTATCCTTTTTAGGAGATAAATGAACATTTTTAGAAATGCTCAATTGGGGCTCGTCTGCACAACACCTAAACAAAAGGCCAACATGTGCAGAGCTCACTTAAACTCTGGGTTTGGCTAGCTGTCCTATCTTACAGTTGCATAGTACAGACGCACTCGTAAATTGGCATGGTTCCCAGCTCCCTGTATTGAATAGAACAAGGTTCTCTAATACAGTGCTGCGAGAAAACATGAGAATTGAGGTGAAGATGGAAAAGCTCCTGACGCTCAGGACCTCAGTGAGATCTTGGAGTGAGCCTTCACTTGGGTCTGTGCGGCCTATACTACCTGGGAAATCTGTGTGTCTAGGGGTTCAGTCCCCAGGGAGAGGACTCGGGTCTTGCATTTCTGGGATTAGACGCAGGGGAAAGAGGAATTGTTTTGGCAGGAGATGGAGACATGGAAACTAGGAGGAGGGCTAGGGGAGGCTCTGGGCAGCTGTGAAGGACTTAGGTTTGAAACTATGAGATGAATAATGCAGCTGACACGAAGCGTGGGGTGTGGGGAAAGATGCAGGTATGGCGATTCACAACAGCCAGCTGGGGTATGCTCCGTGGCTCGCATTACGCGTGGAAAGAGACGGAAAGTTCAGCTAAGGGCTTGGGAGAAGGCTGCGTGGATGGTGTGGGTACTGGCTGGAAATGATGAACTAAAAAAAGAATAAACCAGAACTACATTCTTTAAATGCAGGTCTTCCATTTTGCTTCTAACAGTGTAATGGCTTGAGACATCTTCCCTTCTGGGTCCCATCTTGGACCATCTTCCCTAGGCTGGTCCAATACTGCACTAAAACTGTGCTACTATGATAGGGCAGGTGTCATTAACACGTTGGTGACACTAAAGGTTAGAGAATGCAAATGAGAAGAAAAGAACCAGAGCAATTCTGGCATGGAACCAAAATCTGCCCCTCGTCTGGATGGCCATACTTTTCCAAGTTACCCACATGATCTCTGGGTGGGAGGCGCTAACTGGGCCTGACGTGCTACTCGGGCCACGTGTACTAATGAAAGAGGGAGCAGGTTGAGCTCTGCTCTAATTTCACCTTCAATCAACATTACAGCTTAACAAATGGAAGGATGGTGGCTTCGATACCTGGACACATTGGGCAGCAACTTCCTTCCACGTTGATGGGCTCAACACAGGGCAGAGGGGGGCAGCTGACGGTCGAGCAGAGGGTCTGGCCCTGCAGGCAGTAGCAGTGGGTGCAGCTGTCAAGGTCCCACCGCTCCTCGTCGGCATAGGCCTTCCCACTGAAGTGGCACACCACCTTCTTTGGAATTGTGTCTTCTAGTGAAAAGAACAGCACATGGTGGAGTTGCTGATGTGACAATGCGCACGATCTTATTATACGTGAGATCAAGGGAATAGCTTTGTATCATCACAGTATGCGTTAGGATTTCTGGAAATGGGTGAAACTTTGGTTTCCCTAGTCTTTCATTGCCATTTTCTTGGAAGGACCCTCGGGGCTCCCATCTTGTGGCCCCTTAGGCTAGCACACGGTGGTCACTACAACAACCGGCAGGGAATGATACCCGTTAGGTAAGTGTCCTAAGACTGTCATCCAGAAAGAGATAGAGACTGATAAAATGTCCACCTGAGTTTATTTACAGAGATGGATTCAAGAAAATTCAAGAAGTTCCTCCTGTTTGGTAAATCATCCAGGGGAATGGTAAGGAGTGATAATGGCAACAACACGGGGAACTAGCAGGCTTCCTCTGCAACCCCTGAGTGGGAGTTAGCCCTGAGATAACCACTTCCCTCAATTCCAGGGATGCCCCGTGGATTTCTCTCATCTACAAGGACATTTCTACTTTAAAAACAGCTTCATTTCATTGCAATCCACTTTTTCCCCCAGCAAACTATGGTTTTTGAGAAAAAAATTAAAGAGCTATTTGTACAGTACATACAAGGATTTACAGCTTAAATATTCTGCTCCTTCTTCACGCTGTCCCTTGTCACACTCATTTCCTCCCTCTTCCAACCTTCTTTCTGAAGGTTCCTTTCTCTGGGACTCAACGCCTTTTCTTGGTGTACCTGAACTGACTCCCTAGTGGCCACATTTCACACACAGAAATTCCCCTCTAGCACACAAGAATGAGGTTCAGAGTGAGGCCCAAGGACCAGCAGATCCAGCAGCCAAAGCAGAGATGGGGCACATCGAAACCCAGCGGCGGCAATGTGAGCGTGAGACTGATAACTGGATGCCACCTACTAATCCAGGGACATTTTACGTTCAGATTCTAAAAGCAGCGCCACTCCCCACTTGTCGCTTAAACGTGAAAAACTACAAAGGCACCTGGAAGGAAAGTTCCTTAGGAAGGCAGTGGTCCCCAGGGCCCAGGATTCTTCCTGGAAAGCATCTGGGAAGCTCTTGAAGGGTCAGAGTTCACTGAACAGACACACACACACAAACAGAACCCAGCACATCTCAGGGCACACTGAGAAGCCCATAATGGCACCAGGAGCCATTTTCTCTGAGCAGCCCCAAGCTTTGCAGCAAGTACTCCAAGGCAGCTGGAAGTGGCTCTCTATGAAGACCCAGCTTGTGCTTCAGACTGAGCTTTTCCAGAGGAAGGTCTCAGATAGAAATGCTCACAGATCTGTGGTCTCTGTGTTTTCTTCTTACCAACTACAATTGTGCCTTGGCACCCTCGGGAGACTGGTTCCAGCACCCTCAGGGATACCAAAATCCACAGATGCTCATGTCCCAAGTCCCTTATATAAAACAGCATAGTATTTGCATATACCTAATCACATCCCCTGTGTACTTTAGGCCGTCTCTAGATTATTTACAATACCTAGCACAATGTAAATGCTATGTAAATAGTGGTTATACTGTATTTTAAAATTTATATGTTTTTATTTTTTAAAAAATATTTTCCATCTGTGGTTAAGGATCTAGAGGGCAGATAGTACTCAAGCACATGCACCTTTATAAACGCCACTAATAATGGCCTAATATTGTAAAATTTTTACCCCACAGATACCATTCTCAATCCATTGGGGAGTATTAGAAGCAAGCCCAAGCAAGAAACTGACGCCGTGTTAAATGTATCATCTCTATGTTATCAACAACTTCGATCATTTTTCTAACTATCACTAAGGTTCAACAAGGGGCATTAAGTCAAGTAATCATGGAAAGTTCTAGTTGTAATCAGAAATCAATTTTTCAATATCTATTAAAAAATGCACTTCCCTATGTTTGTAGATGCTCCACAGAAATCTTCTGGCACACTAATTATTAGGCTACAAACTCATCTGGAGGCTTACAAATGAAGCCCACGATAGTTCTCGATAATATAGAATCCTTCAAGGAGGCGACTTCACTAAGGTATCCAAATGCACATGTGTCAAACTGGCCGAACAGAATCATCCAATGAGCCTAATTCAAGTAGTACTCTGACCTCCAGCCAACACGCTGCACTGAGGATATTAGTTTTGGCCATCAAATCTAGAGTCTATTTTGCAGAGAATTCTTAATGAAAGAAAGCAGTATTTCATAAAGCAGTACCACTGATTGTATTTTACATGAACCTTGGTCCATACAATGCAATATCACCGAATAAAATGTGAGTGACAGTATTACTGTACAAGGAAATCAGACAGGAGAAGGTGAAACTCCTCATCCCATCTTGTCCATAACTCTTCTGACTCCAGGTCAAGCAGTGGTCTATAGTGTCTGTAATTTTTCCTTCCTTCTGCAGTCTATATTGTCTGTAATTATCCCTTCCTTCTCTCCCTCCCTCCCCTCCTTCCTCCTCCTTCTTTTTCCTCCCTCCCTTTCTTCCTTTCCTTCCTCCTCCCTCCCTTTCTCCTTCCTTCCCTCCTTTCCCCTCCCTCCCTTTCCTTCCTTGTTCCTTCCCCTTCCGTCTTTCCTTCTCTCCTTTTCTCCCTCCCTCCCTTCCCTCTTTCTTTCCTTACCCCTTTTCCTTTCTTTTCCTCCTTCCTTCCCCTTCCCTCCTTCTTTCCTTCCCTCTCTCCTTTGTTCCTTCTTTCCTTCCTTCCTTCCCTCCCTCCCTCCACACACGAGAATAATGATGGGAAGAACTCAGACTGATCCTGGACCTAAAGCACCAGGCCATGAAATGTGGTGTTTTCTCAGTGATACTGACCTATGTAGGAGAATTTCAACAGGTGTATCAAAACCACAGAAGAAATATCGAAGACCAAATGCTGAGCTACAGCATAATACAAGGTTTATGTAAATCCTCATTCAGTAACTGTATGAGATCACTGTCTCAAGGAATAGGTATAAATGATATATGAGAAAGAACAACTACTCTGAATGGGTTGGAAGCAATGGGAAAACCAATAACTTTTTTTTTTTTTTTTTGAGACAGGGTCTCACTCTGTTGCCCAGGTTGGAGCGCAGTGGTGCAGTGGTAGCTCTTTGAACTCCTGGGCTCAAGTGATCCTCCTGCCTTAGCCTCCTGAGTAGCTAGAGGTACAGGTATGCACTACTACACCTGGGTAATTTTTAGTTTTTATTTTTCGAGGAGATGGGGTCTCACTGTGTTGCCCAGGCTGGTCTTGAACTCCTGACCTCAAGCCATCTACCTGCCTTAGTCTCCCAAAATGCTGGAATTACAGGCACCAGCTACCACACCCGGCCTAGTATCCTCAGTGCTTTCCTAGACATGCTGTCTCCTTCAATGACACGTAGCAATCAAATTGTGAAAACTCCATCAGGAAGTTTTAGAAGCTACCATGTTTACAGGGAGACGTGGTGGCTATTCCATGCAATTCGAGGTTCTAGAAATTAAATTAATAGTAACTGTAGTCTTTTGGGGGAAACAGCATAGTCTAATTGAGACTACATATAAATGTAATTTAAGCAGTCAGCCTGAAAAGGGATGGAGAAAGAAAGAATGGGAATATCCAACTAAAAATAACCAAAACAGTTGATGTTTGGCTATCAGGGTTGTGCCATTTAACTCTAAAGGCTATATTTATTACTCCAACTGGTTTGTTTATTCTGACAATTAAGTTTTGTTCTTTGATACCTAATAATAATCGTAACTTCCACGTACTGAATGCCCACTACACACCAGGCCCTGTGCTAAGCACATTATCTGTGTCAATGCCATTTATCGCCATGGCCCAATGGGACAGGGTATTGTTTCAATTCATGGAAAAATGAGGCACAAGATTAAGTCAGTTGTCCAAGACGCACAGCTAGGTAGCGGCAGGGCAAGGAGGGGAACACCAGCAGGTCTGGCTCCACAGGCCTCCAGCACCTGCCTGCCATGTACCAAGCGGGATAACCCGTGGAAGGGCCACTTGCCCAGACAAGGATCAATCAGTGCCACACAAACTAAAGTCGTTACTGCTCACTGACTTGAAAATGGGCACTTGAATTTATCTTTGTCTTCAAAGATAAATTGTCCTTCAACTGACTACATCACACATCACACAATGCTGTCAAGGAATGAAGGTAACGAAGTGGGTATTCAGGATTCCTGGTCTTCCTTAGGAAAATCTTCGTTTAACACTTCTCTCTCCCTTTACTATTTCTCCCTCCCTCTCTCTCAGAATAAGAGGATTAGAGGAGAATGTTCCAAGGAAAACCTAAGGTATGATACTAGTATAATAAAGTTTGTTTTTGAAACGAATCAGGAGTTACATATCCAAACAAACACGATCCCCCTTCTCAGTAGCCCTGGTAGGCTATAAACGTATTCCAACAGTACTGCCGCTGCCGCACACAGCTTTGGAAGTCCCTCTTGTGATGGCATCCAGGGCCAGTTTTGAAATGTGCAAAGAAGACGGCTACTATTTCACAGTCACACCTTGGCTTAGATCAGCTTTGCTACTTATTTTCCTCAGCTCTGGCCTCTATCTTATCCATCAGATTCAGCTTGAAATGACTTTTGGCCTCTTTCAGAAACAAAGTCCCTGTAAGAGAATCAAGATTTACTTCTGCCATCACCTCACCATCAACCACGGCAGAAGCCTGGAGCCCCTCGGTAGCGGCTGCAGCGGCTCCTTCCATGGGGCTGCTTTCCTCTTAGGATGCTCAAATGTCCTCTTTTCTTTTGGAATTCAAATATGAGCAACACTATCTTGTATCGCGTATGATTACAATAAAAATATACAAAGTCTCAGTGGCAGAGTTTGGAAAATTCAGCATGGGGTTTCCCTCTTCTATTTTTCCTTAATTCTGGTTAATATAACAAGAGGAGGAAGCAACAGCAAGGCCTTGAAATGTTAATTTCCTTCCAGTTAAGCTTTGGTATCTTATCTCTTTTCAAGATAAGAAAAGAAGACTAAACAGGCTGTTCAGGCTG